CTGGGTCTGTGTAAACTTAGATAAGCCTAAGGTTATAATGGCTGGTTACTGGAAATTTAACTGTTCATTATTTGGTGAGCAGGGTTTCCGGGACCAGCTGCTACTAATGATTCAGAGGGAATTGACGGGGGCGGTAGTGGGAATCGCCTGGTGGGATAATTTAAAATCTAAAATTAGAACGTTTGCTGCCGATTTTAGTCATCGATTCAATCTAGATAGATTAGCAGCGCAAACGGCTTTAGAAAATAAAGTTGATCGGGCAGTGAAATCCCGTGTTAGTGGGGAAATAGCCTTAGCTAAGGCAGAGTTGGCCTCCTTGCTTATCAAGAAGGATCAAGCTCTGGTAGTTAGGGCTAGGTTAAAAAGAATGTCTTCTGAGGTGACGAATATGGCCGCTGAACTGCGTGTAGAGGAGAATCGAAACGCGTCTAGGCGACATATAGCGTGCGTCACATTGCCGGATAAGCAGACCGTGACTACAAACACGGGCATATGTGAGGTCTTTCGTGATTACTTTCAGGATCTTTTCACCGGTCTGAGCTCTGCTCAGTTCGACGCCTATTTAGCTGACTTTCCCTGCCTCTCGGCAGCTGAAGTGGCTAGGTGCGAGGGTCCCATTACAGAGTCGGAAATCTGGGAAGCGCTGAAGCAGGTTAGCCTGGATAAGTCTCCGGGAATAGATGGTCTTCCATACGAAATTTACTTGAGGTTGTCGCCCATTTTTGTTCCTTTGCTGGAACTGATTTTCAACCACTGGATGAAGCAGGTGTCTATACCTCAACGCTTCACCAGGGGTGTGATCAAGTTGCTACGTAAGGACAAGGACAAGAACAGTGGGGATGGGTTAGGGAATTTTCGCCCTTTAACCATGTTAAACACTGAGTTAAAGATTTTGGCGAAGATCTTAGCCAACTGTTTGCAGCGTGTCCTGTCTAGTTTGATTGGCCCTGAACAGACTTGTGCTGTGAAGGGCAGGACTATTCAGGATAACCTTCATATGGTTCGCTTGATCTTAGAACAAGTCGACAGTGAAGCCGCGCTGATGAATTTCGATCAGTCCAAGGTCTTCGATAGGGTTGACCATCGGTTTCTGGAGGCTGTCCTTTCGGCGGCCGGTTTCAGAGCCGACTTTCGCTCCTGGATCCGACCTTTGTATGCGACCCCCGGTGCGCTGGTGGAAGTGAATGGGGTAAGATCGAAGCCTTTCGTATTGTCTCGCTCCATTCGTCAAGGTTGTCCGCTCTCGCCTATGCTTTACGTTCTTGTGTTGGAACCATTCCTTCGCAAGTTAAAGGCGAATCCGGCCCTGCGCGGAATTTTCCTGCCTGGGGCTACCACCTCAGCCAGGTATTCTGCCTATGCTGACGGCGTTTCGGTTCTTGTGTCGAGCAGAGCCGAGATTGACGAAGTCAGCAAAGAGATCAGTGGGTATGAGATGGTGACAGGGGCCAAGATCAACCGCGATAAGTCTGTTGGCTTGCGGTTGGGTGCGTGGAAGGGAGTTTCTCTTCCCGGACCTTTCCTCTGGACGGATGGGCCGATCAATATACTCGGCGTCTGGTTCGGTCCTGATCTCCAGTTGGAAATGAACTGGTCGGAGGTACAAGGGAAGGCCGAGATTGCGGTTAATCTGTAGTCTCGGAGGAGACTTTTCCTGAAGGGAAGGGCGGAAGTATGTGTTTCACACGTCTACCCGATTCTCCTGTACCGACTCTCTGTACTTCCACTCCCGTATGCCAGACTAATTTTATTAGTGCGGACCTTGCTCTCTTTCTTGTGGAGAGACAAGGCCCATATGGTATCTCGCGAGATCTGTTGCCTTCATCCCTCTGAGGGCGGTCTGGGTATGCCTAGCATTGAGATTCGTCAACATATGCTTCGCATTACCTTTCTAGACCGAATGTGTCGTGGATCGGATGAGGTGGGCGCCTTCTGGAAAGAAGACGTCCGTAAACATTTCCCATCCCTGGGAAGTGTGCACTCGTGCGAGGAGGAGGCCGGTCGTACACCCCGAGCTGAGTGCTCCTTCTACCGCGAATGTCGTCGTGCTCTGAAACACCTCTTACGGGCGTCGGATGGCCTCTCCAACGCCCAGGTGTTGTCTGGTAAGGCATTGTATCGACTGTTAGTTAGGGGGGGGGCGTTCAAGATGATCTGATTGGCGAGCTCAGTCTTACGAAGCAGGAGGCTCGCTCGATATGGCCTTGGGCGCCTGGGTTGAAATGTCTCAATAATAATGAGGCATCACTCACCTGGCTGGTGATTCGTGGGACCCTCTGGGTCGGCAAGAGACTTTGTTCAGCAGGCTTGGAGAAATATCCAAACTGTCGTCGCTGTACTGGGGAAGTCGAGACCATTGGTCAAGCCTTTTTTCAGTGCAGGACGGTAGTGCCGTTGTGCAGGCTTGTTGAAGGCCTCATGGTTCGCATACTGCAGGGAAAGTTTTTTGTCCTTGAAGCCAGTTCTGTCTGTAGCAATGTGGTGCCGCAATTGACGAAGGCTGAACACTATGTGTTCTGTTGCTTACTAGGGGTTATGAGAGTCGTGATTTGGACGACGCGTCAGAAGGAATTCTATGATAGCGAGAAGTTCACCTCTTCCCAATTGATCTTGTACTTTAAGCATCAGCTTAAAGTCAAGATTAGGACGGAAAGGCGGCGGCTCCTCTCATCAGAATTTGGCAAAAGGTGGGTAAATCTTGCGCGAATGTGTAGAGTGAAAGGGGCTGACCTGGAGTGGCACTTGGATGTCGGTTAGGCACAGGATTTTGTCCTATTAGGGTTGAACAGAGGCAACCCACCCCGATATTAGGCTAGTTTAGGTTTTTTAGTTTGAATCTTTAGTTTCCCGTTTTCTGGTTAACTTAGCTAGGGTATGCATGCTCATTGGTCCCTTTTATTTCTGTCCCTATTTTTCTTTTGTTTAATTCCCCATCCCCTCCCTCGTAAGGTGGTCAGTGATGTCAGTTCTCTGGTTGTTGCGGGATGACTTTCGTTTCGTGTGTGTGTTTTCGTATTTGTTATTGTGTCTACATGAGTGCGTGTTTGTGGGCGTGCTTGGATTTTTTATAATGTTATAATCCCGCAATGATTTCGTCCAGTTAACTGATGTTTCTGCCACATTTAGTGATTGTGGGTTTTTTTTATTACTAACCCTATTTTGTTTTGTTTTATGTAAATAATATTAAATAATATTGTAAATAATCATTGGTTTTTTTAAATTGTTGTTGTCCCTCCCCCACAGACTTTGAAATGTACATATGGGGACTAGTTAGGATTTCATAGAGAATTTGAGGTATTATGGTTGACGCAGTAAGAAAGGTAGGAGTGAATGGGTTGTTTTGGTGATAGGAATATTGTTGGTATGTTTGGGTCCGTGTCTGTGACTAGCTAAGTTTAGAATTAAGACAGAAGAAGACCGTCCTTCCCCAACCCCCCTTTTAGGCCTTGTGCCACATTTTGTACAAACGTGCAAATAAATAAAGATTGAACTCATTCACTTCACTTCATTGGACATCGACACAACAAAAGACACAAACCAAATTCTTCAACACGACAATGAACCTTGTCAACCAATTCCAGGCTTAACGTTAATTACTTAAATTTAACATAAACCCAGCTTGTGAAAAGAACGCTCACTCCAACAAAATATTTTATTCCACAACAAACATCTCCGGTAAAAGAGCAACAACTCTGTAAAAATCAGTGATTCAAGGACAACACTTTTTTATTTAATACAAAAAAACAACTGTTTAATTTTCTTACAGCAACAAATATACTTAACTACACCTTCTCATTTTCACACATACAGTTCAGCAACTTAAATTCTTTCAGTATCACACACCAAAGAACTAGTAAAATGTTTTAACAACTTAACCATCTTATATTTTTGTATTTGTTGTGTTGATAAAAATTATTTATTGTTGAACAATTTTTCTTCTACTTGATTATTTCTCTTGTTGTTGTTGTTGTCTTTGTAACATAGTAAAAAATAATAGAGGGTCAGTTTTATTTGTATTTATAACCAATACAGATCGGCTAATCCAATACTTTCACTTTGCTGACAACAAGAAGATCAAGATTTAAATCTAAATTGTTTGTCAACTTAAGATACTGTGTATTGTGTTTATGTTCATTTTTATATACAGACAAACGGTAAACCTCTCATCAATGGACTAATAATTTAAAAAGGGAGGAGTGGTCCATTAATTTAAATTTTAGTAACTAAATGTATTGTACTTTTGTACACTCATCTTTGTTTACAATTGAAAATGCCACCACCGCTGCCAAGCAGTCACTTTGAGAAGTAATATGACTTGTTCTGCTAAGTCTGCAAATTTTGAAATGCATTACTGACGATATGAATGTTATTTTCCTGCAGATTTTTTTTTTTTTATTTTGGCTGCAGATTTTGTCCGTTGCATTTGAAGAACATTGATGGGGAGGAGGGGGGTCCATAGATAAGAGATTTGGCTGTATTTTAATTTTTAATCCAATAACAGGCCTAAAAATTTGTCTACAAAATTAAAAAAAAAAAGACTTCTAAAACTAATTCTATTTATTACAAAAATAATTTCTGAAAATTTAAATAAAAGTAAAACTTTATTATTGTCAGGTGTTTTTAGAGTTTAAAAAAATTAATGTGTTTTTTTCATGTCTCAAACTTTGATTTTATTGCTACAAATACATATAGCAACAGGGTAATAATTATTGCTACAAATACATATAGCAACAGGGTAATAATTATTGCTACAAATACATATAGCAACAGGGTAATAATTACTTTAACAACATTCAACAAATAATGTCAGGATTACTACTACATCAAACCTAACCTAAGTATCCTGTTATAATCTCAAACTAAACACAACACAGATTTAAAATATTTTTTTATACTATAATTTTTCTAGGTCATATGTTTAGATATTTTTTAATTCTGCAGTCATTCATTTGTAACCATGACTAAAAACATTTTTTTTTTCTATTCTTCCCTCTCTTCAGGCTATAAAGATTGTACCTTGGTTGGCTACAGTTATGGTGCTGCAATAGCGATGATTGCCGCTTTCCAATGCCCAGAAAAAGTTTCAAAATTAGTTATCTTCAACACTGCTGTATATCCTGCCTACAAGAAACATATGTTTAATGAACTAGCAGATGTACGGTTTATGTCGTAAGTATATACAGGAAATAAAAGTAAAAACATCTTCTGCATACATACATAACTTCATTTTGTTTTTTTTTGTTTTTTGTTGAGGTAGGACCAGTATTAATCTTTCACAAAACAATATGGGTCTTGCCAGACAAAGGATTTGTCATAATGACTGGAGGCAAGTTTTTTACAATGTCAGAAGCTCTTCCTGATACCCAAAGTTGCAATTCAAGGCTTGACGTCCCATCCAAGCCTTATATATATATCTAATATATTAAAATATTTAATCCTTGAAAATGGATAAATGTATAGCCAAAAGCACTCAGATAAAAAGAACATTCAGACAGTTTTTATATAATTTATCATCTGAAAAAAATTATTAGATCGCATGAGAAATTGTATAAAAAACTAAATCAAAGCACCTTGTCTGTCGTATTCAATGAAATATGCATGAAAGAAGGATTTATGCCTAAATGCACAAATATATATATATATAAAAATAAGTGAACATTGAAGTCAACATTCAGAGGTGACAGTCTGTTTCATACTAGACACAATCATCAGGCCACAAGTGTTGTGTTTTTCTTGACTATTTATATATACAGGTCAGTGGTGCATTGTGGGTAATCCATTCTGGCAGTTATTTTGGCAGGAGTGGCTTGTTTATTTATTTACTTGGGTTAATTTATTTTTATTTTATATATTTATTTATTCTTTTTGGTTTTCTCCAAAAATATAGAAGTGAAGAGAAAGGACAATAAAAGAACAGGATTCAAAAAGGTAGAAGATGACTATTGACATTGCACTTAAATTTTTAAAGATCATAATTGACTGTAAAACAAGAAGGTGGAAGAGAGTTCCAGAGACTAGAAATGCACAAATAGAAATTATTAAACAGGTACATCTAGCAATTCCATCAGTAAAATGGTGAGACCTATCTTCCATTTTAGTATTATGGTTAAATTCATGAAGTTGAGGTAACAAAAACGAAAGCAATATTTATTTTGAAAAATATAAATTTGTATCACAAGGACAAAGTGGGAATAGAGGAAGACTGGTCTTCCATCTGATTTGTTAGCCACAATTACTGATCGCAACATACTGCAGTATTCCTTACACCAATTACCAAGAAAATATTTATATAAAAGACATAGGGAAGCTACATTATACTGGTGGGGAAAGTGACTGAAGCCGACATTGAAGGTTGATATGGTAAAAAATGTTTAAATGAAGGTTCCATACCATATGTCAAATGACTCTATTAAGAAAAAATAGCATTTCTACTTTCCCTCCCAAGGCCAGTGTACTGCTGATAAGGGCTGTCGACACAAGCATTTATAGTTGGGATAAGAATGATCTTGAACAAAAAAAAAATCAACATTTTATACAAAGTATTCCAAAAAACAGGACTCAAGATAAACCCTTTAAAAAGAAACTATGATCTGAATTGGTCATAAAAATTCACAATGGGGAATTAACAAATACTAAACACGTCAAGTGTGCAGATCAGTTATAACAAATCTAATAAAGGAGATGAGCTAAGGAAATTTTAAGATAGAGTTCTGTCCAGTGCCACCAGATACTATAAAAGCAAAACATTAACCTAAGAATTCTAGCCATGTTCTTAAATAGTTTTGTCAGATCCAGACTTTCATATAGATTCCATGCATGGCATTTAACTTGTTCAGAAATGTCTAAATTGTCAGCTGTATACAACCACTTTTCTCAGATCAATGATAGAAAATGACTGTAGGTCTTAGACGGAACTGTTCTTCATTAAATCTTGTGGACTAACATTACAGAATCACAAAGAACTGTACCAAATAACAGAAACCACATCACTTGAAGACTTTCATCAGGACCAACAACTGGCTAACTTGTGTAACCTGAAGAGAAAATAATGGTATAATGATATTATTTTGACTTTCCACACTAATATTGGAAAGAGCAATAACAGTTAGTGGACTTTAGAAACCTATTTTCCTGAAAAACTCTTTCAAGAGATTTTATAAAATTCAACCAACTGTATCACTGACTATTCAGTCAATGAATGCCGATTGTTTCCATAAAAAGAAATGACTAATTTTATCATTATCGTTATCATAGTAATATAATTTGGGTACTGTTCTACTTTCTCCAAACTTTTGGGGAGCATCTTAAACCCCACCACACACATGGGATACTCTAAATCAGTGGTTCCCAACTGATTTTGGGTCATGCCCCCCCCCCAACACTTTGGTATTTCTAAAATTCTGGTACCCCCTGTAATCTTGAATTCTTACTTGTATGCCAATTACACATGTACATACATACACCCAAAATATTTTTATGTATGTATACTGTATATGCATCGTATGTATTGACACGCATTAACATAAACACTCTCACTCAGATTCACTAGAAAATAATTCACTGTTAATAACTCATTCTTGAATTGTCCCCTTATTGTGTTGGTATAGTAAGCCGAAGGGTGCACATCCTACGCATGCCCCCACCAAAATATTACCATGCCCCACCAGTGGGACATGTACCCCATGTTGAGAATCATTGCTCTAAATGCTTCCTTGATCAGAGCCTAAATTTTCATCTATCACAATGAATGGGTATCCTCTCCGGAGAGAGCACAACTCAAGTGAAACGCATACATATGATCCATGAATAAAGATGCTGGAAAAATAGTCAGTTCCCTGTATTGCTCCCATAAGTACCTGATTCTTCGTGTTATCCTCTACATTTACAACAGCTAGGTTGGGTCAAAAATGGAGCACTGCTGCCATATATGGGCAGGAGCTGCACAGTCTTCACTTTCCAATCAAAAAGCGTATCTGTGTCTGTGTGGAAATGTATTATTTCCCACCCTACAATTCCTTTCACAAAGACAAAATGTTGTAAGCCTCCCATTGCTCTATCACTATATCCATGGAAAATGGTCAGACATTCCTTAGTTCCAACCCTCACAGCTAAGACCCGCCATGCCATGCTCATTGTAGTGAACCACCCTCATTCCTTTCGTATTCCATTGATATGAGGTAAGTTTCACTTGAGCAGCTTCTTACAAACTGCTACTTTGTGAAACTGACTCCCAAGAGGATGCTTCCCCAATCACTACAATCTTAATGTGTTCAAGTCTAGGGTCAACCATTATCTTCCCCATATATCCCCATAAACTGTGCCTCTTACTCTGTAACCTTCTACCTTGAGTGGCTCTTGGGTTTTTTACAGGGTGAACATTATTCTAAAAAAAATATCTGCAAGGACCAAGTGATAACATAACTTTTTTTTTCTGTTTGTTGTCTAATTTTATCGAATTATTCAACCTCGATTATAACAACCAAATAATAAAGTGATTGAATGAATGTATATGATATGAATTAGACGCAATCAAATAAGAAACAGTCATTTAATTAGTGGAATAAAGGGGGAGACATTTATAAGATAATTCAACTTTGATCATTTCCATATTTGAAAGAGATTGGATGACCACACCTATATCCACTCTCAATCCATCTCCTTCACATACACCCATGAACTCACTCAAGAAAAATGAAAAACGAAAACAACAACACTGTGTTGCTAGATCAAATGTGTTCACAATCGGATGATATGGGCGAATTCTGAAAGGAAGACGCCTTTAAGAACTTCCAATCTCTGAGAAGTGTAAACTCTTGTGAGGAGGAGGCTCATCGTTTATCCTGAGGGAAGTGCACCTTCTATTGTGAATGTCAGATTGCTCTCAAGTACCTCTTACAGGTGATTGATGGTCTCTCCGATGTCCAGGCATTGTCCCCAATCACGTTAGTTAGGAGGTCTGTGTAAGGTGTGATAGATGAGCTCGGTCTTACAAAGCAGGAGGCTTGCTCCATATGGCCTTGAGCACCCAGGTTGAAATGCCTCACTAATGATGACCTGGCTGGTGATATGAAAGGCCCTCTGGGTCAGCAAAAGACTTTGTTCAACAGGATTTGTGGTGAGTTGGTGGAGACCCTGGATCACACCTTCTTCCACTGCAAGGTCGTAGTCCTTATGTACAAGATATCATGGTTCACGTGTTGCACAGAAAGTTATTTGTCCTTGATGCCAGTTCTTTCTATAACAATGTTGTGCTGTTATTAATTAAGGCTGAGCAACATGTGTTCTTTTGTTTGCTAGATTTTATGAGAGTTGTGATAAGGACAATACGACAGAAGGAAATCTATGGGGATGAGAAGTTTACCTCTTCCCAACTGATCTTGTACGTTAGCTTAAAGTTAAGATTGGGATGACCCCCTCCATCAGGATTTGGTAAAAGGTGGTTGAGTCTTTCACATCTGTGTTGAGTGAAAGGACCTCACTTGAAGTAGCATTTTGATGGTGGTTAAGCATCAGGATATTGAGAACTCTGTGTTCAACATTGGTAACTCTACCCTAAATAGGGTAGTTTATGTTTGTTTTTTCTTCCATCAAGTTAACTTAGCTCATTGGTCCCTTTTTTTCTGTCCCTACTTTCTTTAGTTTAATTCCCCCCCTTCTCCATTAGGTGACAGAGATGTTCTCTGGTAGATGTGCGGTACTTTTCATTTTTTGGGTGTGTATTTTGTATTTGTTTTTGTGTCTGGATAAGTGTGTGTTTCAATGAGTGATTGGTCAAATGGTTGTTCTTAATTACATAGACCCACATTAATTTCATCCAGTTAACAGATTTTTCAGTCATAATTAAGGATTGGGGGGGGGGTATTACTAACATTATTTTGTTTAGTTTCTTGTATATAAATTGTATTCTTTGTAAATATTCATTAGGGTTAAATTTTTAAATATTGTTATTTTTATTCCCCACCCCTCACAGACAAATTGTACATATGAGAACTAGTGAGGACTTCATATATACTATGCGGTATTATGGTGGCTGTAATAAGAATGGTAAGTAAGAATGTGTTGTTTTGTTATAAGGAATACTGTGGTATGTTTGGGTTAGCAATTGTGACTTGTTAAGTTTAAGATAAGACAGATCGAAGTCCAGCCTTTCTCTATTCCCCCTTATGGCCTTGTGCCATACTTTTGTATTATATCAAAATAAATATTACTTTCTTCTACAGTACCTAGACTTTATGTACTACTAGACTGGTGGCAAGGTCTCATCATTTTACAGTTGGAATGTTTAGATGTAACCGTAAGTTCTATGCTAAGAGTTTCTTCTATTGCACTTCTCACTTGAAGAACGCTGTTCCAGCTTCATGCTTTCCAGTCAACTTTGATCTTTAAAAATTTAAATGCAGCACCAATAGCTATCTTCTGTCTTCTTAATCTTTGCTCTTTTATTGTCCTCTCTTCATAATAGTACTTTTTTCTCATATTCTCTAACACTCTGTAACCCTTTGCGTCTTAGTGGCTTTATTTCCTTGACTGGGGTGAAATGATTAAAAAATATGGCAGCAGAAGTTGAAACTAACTGACAATAACCCAGATTCTTTTTTTCATCTTGCTATAGATAACAGTTTGGCAAAATGGTATCTGACATGAAAGTATAAATGATGCACCCATTGACATTCACTGACTCATGATGAACATAGGCAAACCAAATAGTGAGTATAGTTAGGAAGTGTGTTTAGCAGAGGCAACAGCAATTTTTTGTGGCCCAGCATTGTTGTCACCCCCTTAAAAGACTCTTGTTTATTGAAAGTGAAAATTCATGCTGAAAACTTGTTCGATCCAATTGTGCTATTGTGTTTCCTGTATCTGTTGTAGATTCTGTGGAATAAATGGGAGGCAATACTTTTGCAGGAACTGGAGGGTTGTAAATAATGAATTTTCACAAATGACTAAAGAGAATTTTTTTTTTTTTTCTTTTACTTGCAAATTTCAGGCCACATTTATATGCAGCTGTTCCATATAGTGCTGAATTTATGTTGTCATTTCATGATTTCACATCCTTCAAATATATTTTCTGGACTGAGAACGGTGTAAGGAAAGAAAATTTAAGTGAAGAAGACCTTGAAGTTTATAAATATGCACTCAGCCAGAAAGGTAAGCCTGAAATCAATTCATTTTTTTTAAATGTTATAAAATATATTAATAAATAAATATGAAAGACATTCAAGAAATTAATAAAAAAAAAGCACATTTTAATATTTGTTTAGACTTATGTGTTATGAGAAAACACTTTCATTGGGAACGTAAAACTAATGTGTTTGTGTGGAAAAGGTTTGAAAGTTTTGTGGGCCACATGGAACCTCTTCTCACTCCTGTCAAACAGAGGAAATGGTATGGTTTGGACACATTACAAGACACGACAGCCTGTGCAAGACCATTATGCAAGGCACTGTTGAAGCTTTTGAAAATGACCTTAGTATACAGACATACAATACTTCTGCACCTTTCATTAATATGTCTCTTAATCTTTCTCTATTCATCCTTCCTCTTTTTCTTCTTTTCCCTATTCATCTTTCCTCTTCCTCTTTTTCTTCTTTTCCCTATTCATCTTTCCTCTTCCTCTTTTTCTTCTTTTCTCTATTCATCTTTCCTCTTCCTCTTTTTCTTCTTTTCTCTATTCTTTCTTTCCTCTTTTCTTCCTCTTTTTTCTCTTTTTTTCTTCTTTTCTCTATTCATCTTTCCTCTTCCTCTTTTTCTTCTTTTCTCTATTCATCTTTCCTCTTCCTCTTTTTCTTCTTTTCTCTATTCATCTTTCCTCTTCCTCTTTTTCTTCTTTTCTCTATTCATCTTTCCTCTTTTTCTTCTTTTCTCTATTCATCCTTCCTCTTCTACTTCTTTATTCATCCTTCCTCTTCCTCTTTTTCTTCTTGTTATTATCACCATCTTCAGGTTAGCAAATGAGTGGCCTTCCAAAGTTCTTAATATTTATTTGCACAAAAAGTACAAAATGTACCCCAAAGGCTAAAAAGTGGGGATGAGGAAAAGGCTGGTATTCTTTAGTCTTGCCTCAGAATAACTAGTCTCACTTGTTGACCAATTTGCACTTACAATGTTCTTTTCACCATAACACATTTACTTTTAGCTGTCATACCACAGTTGCCAAAATACCTCATTAACTCAATGAAAGTCCAAACATGAAATTTTATTCATCCAATTCATTGGGGGGAGGTGAGAAATTAGAATCCAATTATCGTATACAATGAGAAAAGTACATGACCAAGAAAATAAACAAAACAGTATCAGGATCGCTTGCAGAAAGTGAGGTGTAGCTGAAGATGTCAGTTAACTCGGTGAAAATGATAGACTCAAAGACTATCTGATCTTGACAGTGCACAAAGAAATCTGTCACCTAAAAAGAGAAACAAGAAACGTAAATGGAGGACAAAAAAATGGGTGGGCCTCTATGCACTTGTATATATTCAGTCAGTCAGATAAATTCCACACATGATACATGCTTGGGGGATCATGTATCTGTGGTGGATATAAAATAAAAATAACTCTTTTTTTTCTCCACTGTTTTCAAATTTGCAAGCCTGTCGAAAATTTATTTTGACCAATGAAAAAAAGGAGCAACTTACAAACTGAGAAAAAAGTAACGAGCCAATGTGAAATTGCTTTTTAATATAAATAGGCAAAATAAAGAGAAAAAGCATAAAGACGCAGGAGGCAGAAAGCCACAGTTCCATGTGTCTGAATAATCCCTGTATCAAATCAAACACTGATACATTATCAGCTGTTAATGAGAGCATGGCAATTTCAAAAAACTCTATTCAACTTCAAAGCTAAGTACCTTAAAATATATCTTTTCATTCTTGTTGAAGACAACCAAATCACTTTTATATGAAAAACGAACTCTTTCAATTTGTTTTAAACATTTTGGAATATTACTTTGTGTCCGACGACTTAATATGAACATTTTCTCTTCTTGACAATTCATTGAAACTACAAACTTTAAATATTTGATTCCTTTTCCTGAAGCAAGCTACTTCAAATGTGTAAATTTGTAAATAAATTCCTTATCTTGTTTTGTTAACTATAACACAAGTGTTTCCTCATCATTATCACTCAATACTTCATATCTTCTGATATATGACTGATGAGGAAGATTTTTTTCTGCTGTAGGTTGCCATTCCTTTCTGGTTGCCAACCAAGGCTAAAGAACCCAATCAGTCCTTCTATTCAATCTATAGCTGGGATGAGGGGGGGGGAGGGATGGATTCATACATTTCTTAAGGGTATTTGTGCGTAAGTGAATATAACAAACTTGACTGGGATTTGAACTCAGTTCTTCAAGTTCTTATTCCAAGCCAACCTCCACTACATTACAATGCACATCCACTAGCTTAGTTTAAAAGGAAAAAATGCCCCAAGGTGGCTAAATCTAAAAATCAGAAAGTCCTAAATTACCTTAAACACGGATTGGGATGACTGATGATTCGGTTAGATGCTCAAAATCCTCTTTTTTAAGCAGCATCCAACAACCACTCTCCCTTGATTTATGGAATATGGTTTTGGAAACTTACGGCTGTTATAAAGTTGTAGATTTCCAAATTGTTCTAGATTCTGTTCCTGCGACAGGTGTTAATTGTATGTTTGCATTCAGGTGTTCCTTAACTGTCAGCATGTGAGACTTGTGGGCACATTTGGATGTTTCCAGCCTTAAAGAGTTATAATGTTTTCTTTTTATGTGCAGTGCCCTTTCAGGATGTAGGCGATCATTGCCCTCCACTTCCCCTGATCCCTTGTGGTTCTCAACAGGTTTTGTGTTTCTGCCAACTCCCCCAGACCACGCTCTGCCATCCATCTGCCCAATCTCACCACATATGTCATGCACTGCTTTCCCCTGTCTCTTTTTCCCTCTATTTGTCCCGTGAGTATCAGATTTTCCAGGCCTTCCTTTCTCATCACGTGTTCCAGAAATTTCATCTGCCTCTTCCTTATGTTAAGCATATAACATATAACTTACCAAATGCAAGAAAAAAAAGAAAAAACAAAAACAAAAATAACATGTAATTTTCATTAATTTTACTTATATTATCTACCAATTTATCTTTACAGGCAACATCTATTCCACTTTGTATAACTTCCGAAATATTCTTACCAGTGCAAAACCGAGCAAAAAGTCGACAGAAGAAATAATTTGCGACACCCTTGTCATTTATGGCACCAAAGATCAGTGGGTAAAAAAAGTGATGATTGATGACAGTAAGCCATATTTTCCTAATGGAGTTTTCAAAACTGTAGAGGGTGGTACACACTTTATGCATGAAGATCAGCCCAGATTGGTTAATGAGCTCATCAATGAATTCTTGGGCCAAGGAGGAAATAAAGAATAACTGAGGTTTTCTATTTGACATTTTAAAAAATAACATGTGCAGAAATTTCACCCAGAAAAATCCATTTCATATTATTATCTTTTATAAAATTTAATATAGATGTTATCTTACTTATTATAAAACACAGATTATGTGTGTGTGTGTCTGTACGTTTATATATTGGATCGGATTTCCTATATTTTTCAACCGATTTCAACAAAATTTCACAGGACTGTGTAAAATTACCTTGTGGTGGTTCTGACAGTGCCAAAAATTGGAAAAACAATTGTTTTTGCATGAAATCAATTTGAAAACACAATAAAACATGATTCTGTCGTCAGAATGAAAGGGGGACAACTCATATCGAGTTATACTTACTATAAAACCCAGGTTGTTTGTGTGTGTGTGTCTAGAAGGAGGCCTAGGGTTGCATGAATTTTTTGCAATGCTGGAAGAACATGATTTGCATATAAACAGTCCCCTCAAAAAGGAGCTAAATAGCAGCTTTTTTTAAAAAGTAGGTAGATCCCTGAATCAGATAATTTATTGTGAGATTATCTTGGTGCATATGTAAATTTTGGCTATTTACATATGCACAAAGATAATCTCACAATAAAGTATCTGATTCAGGGATCTACCTACTTTTAAAAAAAAAAAAGCTGCTATTTAGCTCCTTTTTGAGGGGACTGTTTATATGCAAATCATGTTCAAATCTGTGTTCACCCTGAAGGCATGTCATTTTCTTCCAGCATTGCAAAAAATTCATGCAACCCTGGGCCTCCTTGCCCTCTGTGGTTGTTCACTATCTATCTATCTATCTATCTATATCATATATATATATATATATATATATATATATATATATATATATATATATATATATATACCTTCCTAGGTTTACACTAACCTAGGAAAATAATGCAACTTGTTTGATGAGGAAGCGATGAAGAGATGTACTGAACAACAAAGGTTACTGCTCCTCAAAATCATTTGCATAAACATTCTTTATACCCTGGAAAGAATAATAAGCATAATTTGATGTTTTCTTTGCAGCACATCCTTGAAATCAATTATCCTATTTGCATAAATATTTTTGTATGTAGTCTTGGTTTTGTTGCCAAAAATAAAATTTGGCTTTATTTTAATCAAATACTATTGCCTTGTTGTTTTGTATTTGGTTTGTTGTCAACTTACTGTCTTCTGAGCAATTTGGTTTGTGGACTCCTTTGTACCAACATGCAGCCAAACACATCACCAACAAGTGATTCACAGCACACCTGCAACAATAGCCAATCAGTGAACAGCATGTCCTGATTGCCTTGGTTTCACCACACCTGATTTTTGAATAATACAGGCCTGGAAAAAAGTTCTTGCCCATGCACAAGGAGTGGTTGAGTCGCTTCACCTGGTGTTGAAGGATTTGTGGGAGTGCTCGAATGCATAGGCCTACAGTAATTTTAATACAAAGGTGTATAATTGACTCAGACAACCAAGCGCATGCTGTATTATTTTCACTGTCTCTATCAACTGAAGGATCAGCTGTGTGTCTGCTCCTGAGATCTGGGCAAGAAGTTTTTTACAACCCTGTAGTAGACTGAAGTCAACCATGAAGCAGTGAGGAACTACAATATTTTTAAAAGATCTGAAAGAGTGAAGCCGCAAAAGTCAAAGCACGAAGTGGCAGGGGACAACAGTATATCTATCTATCTATCTGTCTATATATATATATATATATATATATATATATATATATATATATATATATATATATTTAAAAACACACACAAAGTTAGTAGACTCCATCCGACACATACTAGTAGAAAATGCAAACATAATAACCACATCCACATGTAAAAAAAATTGAAAATAATGAGAGCCTTAATAATAAAAAAGAAAAGGCCAACATTCAATAATATTAACTACAAACATGGCCACAATTTGCTGTGTTTAGAAAATAAAACATCCCTATAATTCTAGAAACATACACACAACCCATACACCCAATTAAAAAGCAAAAAAATCTTCCTTGATAATGGATAAAATTAGAGCTGAAAGTGCTCAAAATTACAGAACATTTAGACTGTTTCTACATACTATGTGTCCAGAAAAAAAAACACTTGTTTGAACAAATGAAAAATTAAATAAAAAGCTTAATCACAATACCTTTTCTGTCATCTTTAATGAAACATGTATAAATGAAAGATTGCTATCTAAATACACAATATATATATATATATATATATATATATATTTGAAAAATTAATGACAAATTGGTAAAAAGATTTTGTGTGAGACATTTTGAACTTCATTAGACTTTTAAAGTGATATTTACGTTGTTCTAACTACAGTTACATATATACACACACAACAATAGTACAATGATATGTTCAGAATAAAGAATAATAATAAATAAAAGGCATGAAGAAAATGTTTTATTTTTAATTGATTCAGATTATTTTTATCTCAGGATCTGATGAACCTTGTTTTGCCGCTTTTAAGGATAATGAAAACAATTTTTTTTTGCATGTTTTTAAAATATTAAAAACTTATATCTATGTATTTTTTTTTATTTTTATTCCTTTTTAA